TAGTCGGAAACGCATCAAACCTTACGCGTTTTCAAATGAAAACGAGTTATTGTAGAAATTTGAAAACGAAAACGCTACTGCAAGTGATAGAGATTATTCCATGGAAAGTTCGCACAAACGATTTTTATTCACGATCGATTTGCGATGCATCAAAAAAAATTACAAGTGAGCACAGTAAACGAGTGTTTTTTTTTTCTCGCTGCATTGCAACGAGTGAATAAAAATCGTTGAAGCAATTTTCATGGTGCGATGTTTTTATTTCATGCATACTAATTTAATTTCACATTTCAATGCTAACAAACGACTGTGGATGTACATCTTTCGTCCAATCAGAGACACAAACAAGAGTACTTCAAGGAGTAATTTTCAGTATGTATGAGATAAATATTATTACGCATATATTTTTTTTCCGTGACCAAAACAGATACATTTGGTCGGAGCCACAGTAGAATGTTCGGTTACAAATTGCATTCAAGCCTCCCTTGAGGGTTTCCTTGGTTTCATGCGACACACTTACAAACCCCTGTCCTTACGCGTGACTAAACAGACGCTATTTATATGTAAATGTTGCCTGGCGAAGCTAGAAGCTCAAATGCCCAGAGCCACTTTACTCGAGCATTGCACTTCTTCTGTATCAAATAGATAGTGAACATTGACTATCGGCTCTAGCAGTTAGAACCGTCAGAGTACTTCTGAATACTTTAATACAAAAATTACGCCTATCTCTTTTTTTTTCCCCGCAAATAGTCGCCCGCTTTGACCTTGAACTAGAATCTCCAAGCAATTTACAACTCACGGTAGTAGTCTACAGCGCGTGATCAGTAAGAGACAAACACGTGTTACTCCACCAACACTTCTTGGAAACCTTAACATTACATTTAACATCGAGTCTTTTCAAGTTCGATGCGCAACATAATAGTTATACTCGTTCAAATCTCACAAGCAGGTCCAGGAAAAATAAAAGTTTTAAAATTGTAATTTAATAGCGGAGCTCGCAAATCGTAGCCCCATAATTATACAAAATAGTAGTAACCCATCAAGCCGAAAAAATTTGGATGTACGACCGTACGACCGTACAAGGTGCTACTTTTAGCATACGCGGCCAACTGTACCACGGGCACCATCTTATAATCAGTCCTCTACACGGACACGGAGAAGTTGCGAATGATTAACATACCACGCACTTTATCCATAGCAGGGGTTTAGTTTTGTCGAAGAGCCGTGTGGGGAAAAAAAATGCGAGCTCCACTTTTAGGCTTGTCTAAATCTATATATTAGAAAGATAAAAATTTGTACTCGGTCTTCGAGGGATGTTCGTTATTCATTTTTCTCAAGCACGGGAGAAAGAGGTCAACCTCTCGAGGACTAAAGCATCACACCTATGGTCTCGCGGCGCGAAGCTCTACTACTGTACGTCAAAGGGCGGAACAAGGAAAAAAACTTGGCGCCCCGCGAGAAATCGAACTTTAGACCTTGGGATTTCGCGCTTCAAAGAGACAAAGAGTACTCTGTATCTCCCTCGTGGAATCGAACCTCTCACCATCGGTTTCTTTAGTTACCATTTGAGCTTCAGAATACCCCTAAATTAGTAAGGCTATGTTAACATGAAAATACAATTTGGGGACCCTCTACAATTTCGCGAAAAAAAATTCAATGCAAACAAACATCTGAAGGGGAAAAATTATGATTAAAAGCATTTCTAGTGAAAATTGACATTTAAAACCTATTTCACCAAAAAAAAAAATTTATATGGAGAATTTAGTGAATGTAAATGAAGGGATTATAGTGAGTTCAGGGATTTTTTTCCTCGCGCTTCTTAGGGGCTGCCAATTCGAAACGTCTAAGGTTGAATCCGCGCCAGAGACTGCACTAGAGTGTTTTTTTCTGGCACTACGCGGCTAGAAAAAAAAAAGAAAAAAAACCACGATTGAATCCCTTTTTTCTCTTTGAAGCGAAGGTTTAATTTAATTCAATTCGAAGTCGAGATCTGGGTTGGCTTCGTCACGGTATGGTAAAAAAGTTATAGGTTCGAATTCGAACAAATGGTTTTCCGAAATTACAGAAGATTTCGTGAAGGGCTCTTTCATCAGTGAACCGCAGGATTCAACGCTTAAGGGTCAAATAAGTATTTTAACTGCACCGAAAACAAACATCTATTATTGGACTTATCTGATATTATATTCAGTCCGACTAATCACTACAATTTGGACAAATTCCAAACAAACAAATATTTCAAGGGTGGAAGAAATAATTTTGAGCGTTTCTGGCACAAAATAAAAGTTAAAATTTATTTTCGGACAGGTGAAAAGAAAAATATTTTTTTTGGATGCAAAGAAACTGATTAATATTTGAACTTTTTAAATCATTGTAATTCTATTCGTTCTTTTTTTTTTTTCTTTTCTTGAAGGTTGCAAAAACTACAGTCACAACTGCCAAATTTCTCACTTTTTTTTTTCTAATTTTCAATTATTTAGCTTCTTGTTTAGTTGCAATCTTTCTATTTGAAACAACAATCGCGCCTCTTTCCAACAGTGAAAACTGTTTAAAATGCTCATCAATAAATCAGTGGGCAAGATTTTAGACGTCGTTTATAGCCTTACCTGTTGAAAGCTTCTTTCTGAATAATCTTTCATAGACTAAACTGCAAGCTTTCTATAAAATTTAAATTTACTTAAACTGCAAATATGACGCAGTTTACGATAGCAATATTCGACTTTCACATCGTTGCTTTATACTCAAAGAGTTACCCAATCAAATTTACGTTGTATCAACAAAAATTTACAATACTGGTACGCTATGCCCACTTAACTATGAGAAATGGATGCCAGCCAGTTTTCCGAAAAAAGAAAAAATTAATTATAATTATCAATGGTTCGACCCAGTGGTTTTGAAGTTTCTTTTGCATTCTCCGCGACTTGCCATTAGAAAATTTCCGGTGGCAAAGTCAAATTAGTATTTTGATAACATTACAGGACAAAGAGTATTTATACTCACTAATGTATGACAATACAGAAATTGGATGATCCGCGAGGTTTGTGATGATAGAAAACCAGTCGGGCGTGGGAATATAAACAAAGAAACCGGCATAAATAATATTCAAACGATGTTAATGTTTTAGTTGGCCTCTTGCATATAGCAAAGTCTATTAAAAGCTAACAAAACGTGGGAACCATGTGTCGGGATTCAAATAGATATTATTTGTTTCTTAATAAAAAAAAATGCATCGCTTACCTGCTGAAACGGTTTTGTCCGCTTCCTGATAACCACAAATCGTGAACACAGCTCACACGAGGTCGTTTGGGAAATTTGGAACCACTTTACCAGACAACTCTCGTGAACCCATTTCGCAGACCCAGCGCATTTGCACGGGCTGATTAAAACTTCTTCTCCTCTACTTTGACAAATTCTACACTCATCCTCTTCAGTCAAGTCGGCACACCCGCCCTTTAAGGGCTCGACAGCCGACGAGGAGAGAAGTGGGTCTTCGCTAGATGTGCTCTTTTTGTCAGCGAACGAATGATCGCTACAGTCAGCGCTTCCGATTGCACCTTGAATCTCGTTGTTTTTCGATGATCCCACTACGTGGTCGTTCTCTTTCGAGGAATTTATCACTGTCATGTCACGCTGCGTGGTAACAGCATCCATTGGGGTACGGTTATCCAAAATACTTTCCTCTTCGAGTTTTATACAGGTACCATCCATGTCTTCGACCGTCAAATTTCTGTTAAATTGCCACTAACATCTATGAAAACAAAAAAAGCGAATTTTTTTCGCTGTCACCGAAACTTCCCTATCGCGTGATGAGCGAAATTAAGTCAATTTTCCAGACTTGCCGTCGCTAGTTGTGACAATATCTTTTTAAATATATTTTACCTTACTTTAACTGACGCACTGAAGTCATTCTCAGGCCCCTCAGCAACAATCTTATTAGTGATAGGCGTCAAATTATTGCGGTGTACTTATCTATTTGATGACTTGTACTGTCTGATGGAGAGAGACACCTCTTGGCGCGCTAATAAATATTTGTTTGGACAAAACACAAAAAAAATCGTGATTTTTGTCGCCTGTCAAAGAGCTTTGTGGTAGGTAAGTGATTGGTTTACAAAGCCTTTTGTCCTCACGCTCTGGTGAAAAGTTCTCGCGAAGATTCGATTCTTATTGGTTCGTGACCGGTAACTAAGTGAACCGGAAGTGAATTCAACACTTTCATATGGTTTGTGTGACAGAAAGGAAGTGAGAAATTGGTATCAGTTCCTATATTCCTAAAGACAGGGATTTATGATACACCGAGAATTTCATCCAATAGATTGTCTACCGCCTCAACAGAAAGCACTTCACGTGCCGTGATTTTACAACCTGCTGTACGCGCGTGCTAATCTGCATTTTTGCCCTGAAGCGCAAAATCATTGTTTAGACTTCGTGAACTTTATCAATTTCCGGCTCGTGCACGCGAATTACAGACTCGAAGAGCCATTAATTCGTCAAGGCACGAGTTGTTAAGACTTGTTTTTAGATATTAAGACGTCATAACGGTTATTTGCTAAGTCTTATAAATTACCTGTGTCTATTTATGTCACTTAAAGTGGTTTTGAGAAGCCATTAACTCAAGGCTCTCACAAAATTTCCCGACCACTATAGACCGCAGAAAAGTTTAAACGAGATTTTATTACCTTTTCCTACACCGCAAACTTGCAGTATTAGCAGAAAGCAAGGCAATATCTTGTTAGAACCTCACGCTAGCGGTTTGCTTTCAGTCTCAAGCGAAACAAATTTCTTTTGTGTATACGATTGGTATATGCGTCTTTCTTAATTAACAGAATACAAATTATGACAGAATTACGCCCAATTTCCGGCGAATGTCAGTGAAACTTTCTTTAGCTTAGGAGCAAAATAGTAATCAGAGGAACAGTTCATCTTATTTTATCAAATCGTTGATACAAATAATTTGCAATTAAAAGTAATATTGTTGAAAGCCATTGACAGACTTTTATGGCAACCAGGTCTAGAATGGTCGTCAACCGGAATGAATTTTATGAAAACTTTCTCGTATTCCTGTCCGGTGAAATTTCCTGATCATGAGTACTTACGAGGAACTGGTCTCCAGCTGCACCATCCTGTAGAAGACTGAGATGATTAGACACCAAAAGAGTCTTTTTTACTTAAAGGCGCGATGTCCGTATTTGGGTACCGGTGTGTTATGTAACTAAACTGAACAAAAGCAAAAATTTGACAATGTCTTATCTAAGGTTGATCTTACGGCCCTTCTGAAGATAAGTGGCTGTAACATATCAAATCTACTAGAAAAAAGAAGCAACCACGAAAGTCAGTCCAAGTAAAGCAGTCCGCTTGAAACATCGCCGAAAACTTCCTGGAAAGATAACCTGTTTCGTTATTCACGCCGTATCAGCAACAAATTCTAAACTTATCTCAAAGAAATTACCTAGATGAAATGAACCTCGTCATCTCCACCTCTGATTTACTGTCTTTGTGATCATTGAAATGTGTGTGATATTTGGAGCAATATTAATAATTAAGTCTCAGCGGGAATAATAACATTTCTTTGGGAAAATAGTCGAACAGTTCTTCCCTTGCGGCCGGTTTGGCCTCAGTTAACCTGTAATTACACTCTATCTCATTCCACCACGTACGGAACACATGATCAAACGTTCTATCACGAAAAGAACACGTCGAAAAAAGCGTCTGAAATTTTTGGATAATCTGGACAAGTTTGAGTTGACTAAGTTGTGCCAGTAATTTATAGTTTGAAGAAAAAAATGACTTTTACGTACCTAACTACTCCAAGCCTGTCCACATCCTTATAAAAATGCAGTTCTCACTGACACAACTGAGACAATATTGTGACTGGCCAATCGATTTGAATTATCTTTGTAGTCAAAACATTCTTTGAACAGAGCAAACTACTTTTGTTACAGATGCAAAAATGCAAGTAGTTGAACGAAACAATTGATTTCCAGAAAAAATATTGACTTGAGGCACATACACTCTACAAGAGGGTTACAAGGTTCGAGATTTGATGATTGGAAATATAAAAACTAAATTTAGCTCCCTTATTAATATGTGTAAAACATTAAACAGAGCGATCTGTAGAACACAACTTAGAAAAATTCCTATAAAAATTCTATCCTCGTTTTTAAGTATGCATAATCGAGAAGACAGATATTCACAAAGCTCCATTGACAATTTGGACTTTAGCACACCTTCACGAGGCAATTGAATGAAACAGACGCACTTTTGTGCAAATTGAGCAGAATTAATCGTGCTTTCATCCAACGCACGTGATTGTATGTGTCCTCAGCCAACGAAGCGCTTCAACCAAATTAAAGAGTATTTCAAAGGCAGCACACTACATATTAAATTCTGCTTCATCTACAGAGTGTAAAAAACAAGATAAAATAAGATGACTTTTCTTATCATGATCTATGTTCGTAACGTCATAGAGAGTGTCTGAGACGCTTAGACAAGGATTAAGTTTGTGCGCACACGAACAAGCCTGTCGCCTTAGCGGTACGTAAGTGAATGATTTCAAAAGCAGAATGTTAGTGCAAGTGTTGAGAGCCTTGAGGAACAATTCTGTATCTGCGTGCGTGGAAAAGCTCATTCAGTTTTTATATCGTGCCGGTTGTTATGCAAAATAAAAATTCTCACAGGCGACACAGAAATTAGCCCTAACCTCTTGGAGGACACAGTAGTGTTGTGTTTTCATTGCACACAACTTGAACTCCTGGTTTTAGCACGCCAACGAACTGCCAAAGCGAACACTTGATGCCGCCCTATGTTTCCAAGCTTGGTGTCAAGACCAAACTGCGGGCATTTCAGCACGGTTTGATAAGCTCCAAAGGTCTTAACTTACTTTTTTATATTAAAAAAAGGTTATCTAGACAAGATTAAGTGGGTGAATTTGTAACAAATTGAACAAAGAAATTATTTCTCGTAATTTTTTTAAGTTCGCAGATTAACGAAGCACTCAAATTTTAATTCTGCCATAAAATTTATCAGATGGTGTGAACTTGAATTCGTACAGAGGACAAGTTTATAGCTGAAAGATATTTGTGGAAGGGTTTTGTTTATTCTAATTAATGAGTATATAGGTCACATACAGTATTTTGTTTTATTTCATACAATTCTTAAGTGGTGAAAAGCCATTAGTGATTATGAATGAGTCAGACACTCAGAAACTTGAACTGGCTTTACCAGTGAGCGGATATCAACCCAGTAATTGCTTTGTTCTACTGTTTATGCCTAAAACTTTCTTCAATCCAGGCTACTCTGACTTCTTACCCTTATGATTTCAAAGCCTCTGTATTGAGTTTGAAAAAATATGGAAAGAAACACGTGCATGCTGCATAGTCTTTCTCAGTAATGATGAAAAGATGACCTTTCACTTTTGAACAGAGCACTATTGCAAACTGTCTCTAGAACATTCGACTGTGCAGTGTTACTAATACTTGAAAGATTTAAGATAAGAGAGTCAGTTAGATCATGATCACAGCTCTTCAATAGTCTGATATCATTGCGACTTCCGTGCTATATATATATTTATCTTGTTTAATGTTCGACGAGCCTGTGGTCACAAATGGTAAGAAATTCTTTCTTTAAGAGATTCCAGCCACTATATAACCAATCACTCGCTGACTGTACTTAAGCAACCATTCAGTTAAACACATTTCAAACAACATTAAAATTAACAGGGTAATTTAGTATTATCAACTGAGTTGATAACCTAAATTGGCCGACGCAAAGAGTTCAAAAGCTGAAATTACTTGTGAACGGTACTCTTTCTGAGAAAGGCATTTTGCTTCGTTGTACGGGAAAAGACTTTTCCAAGCACGGCGTAAAGTAAAGTAAATAAATTAAATAACGAAGACGGAAATTCTTTACAGGATCAGGAAGGAAGTGTGCTTTGTATCTAACATTGCTCTCGGTGTTAACCCGCATGGGAAACCTTTTGTTACCAATCAGTATTAATTAAAAACCATTCGTTCCATGAGGTTCATAGACTTTGCATATTTCATACCTATACAAGCGGAAATATCAGCTGTTAGTGTTTGGCTGCTCCCTCTGATCTACAAACCTCTCTTAAAGCTACTTTGGTAATTACGCAGTCCGACACCGTACCCTAAAGTTTTAACATTTACAGAAATAAGAGAGGTTACTATGAAACCATAATCGTACCTCACATCCGGGGGTCTGATGCCGCGATCTTGACTTTGATCATAAATTCGTACCTTATATCCAAGAGTCATAAATCCATACTCTATATCCTGGGGTTCTAAAACCGTTCCTTCTATAAAGTACATTTGCAAAAAGGCCGATTTCTGAACGTTTTTCTGTTGGTTTGTTTCTCTGGAATTTTCACGGTAGTGTTTCTTATAGGGCCGTGCCTAAATTGCGATATTGGACACACTCAAAGCATATCGTTGCGAACGAACATAGAACTGACTTGATAAAAGCTTGCTCAGGGATCATCTCACTTTACTCATAAATCGGCAACACAGTTAACACAACAATTATACAAAAAGCCTCATAAATTATCGATATAATCCAGTCTGGTCATAAGTGTCATTTGGGTGGCGAAATTAGTTAGATTGACAGGTATCTTTTGAAATCTTTTGTTCCAATGTGTTTTGCTCGCCTTTCCGAGTCGGCAGCTAACTGGATACAGCTGAACGCACCCATGCAAATCTACGGCTTTAGCAGTCTTCTTTGAAACTAAATTACTGAAAGCGACTTTGTTTTAAGCTGGTTTCAAAAGCACGTGGGCTCTTCATGAGATACTCCCCATAGCAACAGAAGACAAAGGATGCCTTATCTCATGTTTGATCTCATTAACCTTATTATCAGACTTACTGGCTGCGCGATAACAGCTGGAATCTGCTATAAATACACACGCGAAAATTAAACCAAAGTAAGACAATCCTTTCCAAAGAGTTTGCCCAACTGGATGGAAAATGCGGCTAGCTATGAGCGAAATAACACAACCAGCCTCTGAGTCGAAAATTGTAGCAAAGAATAAATTATCCCAGCGAAATGAACCTAAACGCTTTCACCTTTGGTTTATGGACTTTTTGACTGTTCATAGGATCAATATTGATAACAAGGTCTCTACAAGAACAATGCTTTATCAAGTTAGTTCTTTGAAAAAGGGTTATTTAGGTCCCGCCTTCGTGCGCCTAATTAGCTGTAAACCCTGGTTAATTCCTTCACGTAGCGAGATGCTGAACTGATCACGTGAAAAGTCAAAATTCTCTTTTAAGACAGAAATACACCAATGCACTGCGTTAAATCATCACCAGAAGAAATCAAACAATTTTGTTGGATTTTGTCTTGAAGACAAAATTGTAGACAATTTTGTAGATTTTTCGAGAAAGGCTAAGGTTTTTCAAAGACGGAACTAATCGTTCAATGGAAAATCGTGAAGTCATGCTTAATCATTCATATGGTAATTTAAATATTATCTTATTGAAGCTCTTGAAGATCGCAGCTGATGGTTACAGTCATCTTTTACATACAGTATTCAGAAGGCCACCTTTTCAATGATCTTAAACTCGACATTTTTATTTGCTTTTGCCGATAGTTGTATTAAAAAAAAGTCTATCAAACTTGATTTTGATAAAGCCGCGCACGTATATCTAAAGAATAGAAAAAACATAGCTTTAGATTTGAAGCCTAATCGAGAAACTGACACCAAGACTGTCTTGGGAAAGGAAATAAAAAGTTAACGGTTGCAGGAAATCTGAGAAATGATTTTCAACTCTTCAGTGGTGAAATATGCACTCAATCGGGAAGAAAGGCACAAAGGCCCATTTATAGCTTGGACTTTGCTCGTTCAAACGTAGAGAGGCTGCCTATTTTTGAAAAATGGCTGCCACAGACACCTCTGTTCAGCACACCTTGCAAATGGCGCTCTCCCAGTTACCACAGCTAATGTAACAAACTTGGCAAAAGATGAGATTACGTTTTCATTAGCGTTCATCGTCACAATTTTCCTCCACTGATGTCATTAGGCTCAAGTTGAAACTCGCATGTATGTGAAGAAGCCTGTTGCTTCAACACGATACGTAAGTTGCTTCAAACGCAAGAGATTCCTGTGTCGATGAGTAATTCTAAAATATACAATTCATATGTCATAATATAAATTATGTTTTAACCCAATATAAAAAATGCTTAGACATTTTTTTTAGGAAATGCACTGAACGTAATCACATGTAGTTTAATTTCTAACGCTTGAGTGAATGGGTACGTACTGCATCATTTACAGAACAACCTGGAACTTCCCAACGTCTTTTTATGCGAATTTTCACAGAAGCCAAAGTTTCAAATTGGGAGAATTACAGAATATCAACTGGAGTGTCACTCAGATTGTTAATAAACGGCAAACAATAGCGCCAGCGTTCAACATTTCAACTACGAGAGTTCTCTTTCTTCGTATATTCAAGTGAACGAAATAAAAACAGTTTGGTTGATCATGAAGGACAGTTTGGCTTGTATCATGGTTTTTATACTGGACCTAACTTCTCTGAATTTGACTTAGCCTCTTCGCAAAACGAAGATATCAGCTCCACAAGGAGACCTGCAGCCTAAACTCAGCATGTTACAAGCACCAGTTAAACTTGCTTTGGTGAAATTTTAGTTATACAGAGATCAAACTAAGGGAAAAGTTGGTTGTAAATGTGTAGCGGATAGTAACTTGCAAAAGCCCAACTTTCGCAAAGTGTTTTGATCGATCTCCAAATGTCATGAGCCTTTGTGATGTATCTCGAAGTTTCATGTCTTTTTCAAAGCTCACCATGTCTTGGATTTCTTCATTTAGTGGAGGATCTTTAGCAAAGGTAGCTAAGTGGGGCGGCAACAGTGTTCGTTTGATCGAATCTACGCTTGAAAATCAATGATTACGTAGAAGGTGATGTACCGCATGTAAAAGAACACAAAAAAGCTTATCCCAACTTAACTATAATTAAGAGTACCTTGCCCCTTTTCTAGCACTGCTTTAAATTACTAGAGTTAAGTAAAAGTAATAATGATGAATTCCAACGCCTCAGTTTTTTACCTAATCTCTGTCTCGCATTTCCAAAATTAAATATCTCACCGTTTCGCGAGTCTCAGATGTTATCATTCGTCTTCCTCGATGAATAATCATGGTATTCCAAGGTCTCTTAGAAATTTCTTTCTCTTGACAATTCATGTTATAGGTCAAAGGAGCGAGCTACGCACTTTGATATACATATATATTCCAATACTGTATAGCGCTCAAAGACAATTTCAATACCGCTATAGCTATATAGCTACTTGTCTATGAAAGTGCTTGGTTTTCTCTATCAACAATCCTATTAATATATTCGGCACATACCATATTTTATTTTCGTCCTATACTATCTCCAAGTGTTTCAATTCAAGGCAATTAGGCATGAAAAACCTTTTCTTAAGTTCCGGTTAGAAACTCATTTATGTTTAGTTCTCGATAGCAGGAAAAATCACAGGATCCAAAGACTTCCAGTGGATCTTGCAGTTTGGGTCTATACCATTTTTATTTCCAATTGTCGCTATATTGAGCTCATGAGAAATGATAAACACGTCAATGATATTGTTGCTGTTGACAGTGATATATATCTACCAACCTCGTTCCCAAGCTCTCCTCTCTTTCTCAACTTTCTCGAGGGAAGAAGAGAGAAGACCCTGGAAACGAGGTTTTAAACATAACAGCGTGCTATCGCAAATGCTGCAGTCTGTTTCCGCCGCTGTTCGCCATCACTGTGATAGACAGTTATGAGTTTGTTCCCGTAATGAAATAAAAACAGTAGCATTTCCTTTTCAGTTTTGAACGACCAGTAGAATTATTTTAAAACGACTAGATTATTTTCTATCGGTTTCTAAGCGATCAATCAGGGCGAATTATGTATCACTCGGTAGAAATCTCGATCTCACAGCCTAATACTTACGAAGTACTAGAAACCCTTTACTTAGCATTCAACAGAATTCAGTTAATGCAATTTCTTAATTAAATTGTTCCGAGTTTGAAGCGTAAATGAATGGAAGCATCGCTATCATAAACAGTTTTCAACAAATCCTGTAGTTTAAGACGTTATCGGCTCAGACAACTTCCCTCACCCACTGAGAACAATAAAGAAAACAGAGGAGCTACTGACCAATGGAAAACCGTTAAGTGCTTACCAGAATTAGGAACTTAGAGGCTTATTCCAAACTGATGATAACACATTAACGCAAATTTTCAGTGTATGTGTAAATAGAATGGTGACTTTTCAGTTTAATTAACCTTAAAAAAGAAAAAGAAAAACGCAGGAGTTCGTGATCGGAACTGGTAGAACAACCGTAGAATACGGAGGAAGGAAAGTCAAAGAAAAGGCGAGGGTTTGACTAAGGTCGAGTTAAACCGCGACAAGGTTACGTGTCAGTAGGATTAAATTACGATAAAAAAAGATACTGAGGTACAATCCTAATGATGTGATTATAACTTAACCCTTCCTTGACGTATTTCCTCTAAAAAAAGTAAACCTCTGTATGTAACTGCCCGTCGGTGAGAGCCACATGAACAAAGGTAAACAAACTGCACGTGAGTGCACGCTAGCGATTTATGTTCTTGGAGTACTTTGTTTTGAGGATTGAACCAAAGCAGAGAGTGACATGATATGGGATCACATACCATGTTTTGTTTTCATTTTTTATCTTTTTAATATTGTTCCTGAGTAGTAAATAAGTAAATTATACATGAGACTTGGGCAACCCTCAATGGTAGTAGTATATAGCTAAAATTAGCCCGCACACGGAGATAAAGAAACCGCGTATGATACATCTTGGAAAATGTATCTCAAATATTCCAAATTTGTTATTTAAAATCCGCATCAATCTTTTCAATCCTTTCGGTTCATGCCTTCAAATTTTGCGTTTGTCTCCTTAAAAAAAAAGTATCATGTGAAAGTTTCAAACCAAACTTTCACGATGCGCATTTGTATCCAATTAACTTGCAAAGCGAACGTTGCTCCTCAATTTCTCGCTGAAAAGGATGAAGCTTTTCTCGAAAACGACAACTAAATTTACTCGTGTCTAAAACCTTCTGAATTTGGCAAATTGCATGTCCCAAAATTGAAATTTCCATTACTTACTTGCTGCCTTGATCTCCTGATGAAACATTCACTGTTTTATTTTTCTCGAGCCGCTGCAGCCGTCAGTCAAGATGCGTCGTTATCGAAAGTGTTAACTGAACGAAGCACAACTCGAGTACCGCTATGAATATCTGAAACGGATATAGGAGGCTATGATCTTTTTGACCTGCAGTTCAAGATAAAACAGACGTGCTCATGAAAATGTACTTTACCAAAAATTTTCCTTGGTATAATAGTCCTCATTTTATGAAATCGGAGTGAAAACGAATTCCGAAGGAAAAAGACTCTCCTTAAAGAAGGAAAACTCAGTGAAGAATCTGATTCAATCAGGATGTAGCCGTGTGTTGAAGGATTTTCGCTTCAGAAGCATTTTCTCTGAGCACGTGGTAAGGGGTTTTAAACATATGATGTAAAAGTCACGAACTCTATTTCGTCGGACACGCATAGTGCTGCATTGTGCTGTCTGGCTTAAATTTAAGGACCTTAAGCAGTCGAACGGCAACGTTGAAGAACACGTCACCTAAAAATGAATTTGTAATTTTATTTAGAATTTCGCGATTTGCTGGACCTGTTTACCGTCTCAAACGGCGCCACCCGTCTACTTCAACTTAACGTACGTGAGCAGTGTTGAGTCAGTTCCGAATGGAAACTTCCGTAATTTTCCGTCGGGTTTCCGTCGGGTTTACATGAAAATTCTGGTGATTTCACGTTCTTGTTTTGCAGAGGAAGGCAATGAAATACACACATTTTTTAAAGAAAACGCACGTGCCGAACTACTGTTCTTTCGTTTTGCCACTTACTCATTGCAGTCGCCGTCATGATTTGTTTAAGGTCCCTAAAATGTGACAGTCCTTCATTTCCTTCGATTTACTCAGACCACATGTAGCCATCCTGGCCAAAATTTTGCCAATTTCGAAATCCCGACAGTTTTTATCGGCTAATCCCAATTCCGGTACTTACCGAATGAAACGCCTTCTCTGTTCGAAAATTCAAAATCAGTCCTTGCTGTCTGAGAACGAAATCATGTCACCTCCTTTCATTTTCTCACTAGAGAAGAGGAACGCCTGAGGCGTTACATTTACGATTTTCTTCAGCAAGGACTAATTGAAAACGAAAGTTAGAAGGATGATGTGTCAAAACCGCACAACCTTATAAGGTAAAAAAAACTAGAAACTTCGTAAAAGTAGCGGTCATTTTCAGCTTTTCCAGATGGCCGTTCGATTTTTTTTGTAAATTTTGTCATCAGATTGCCACGCCTCTTTTCCCGATTTCTGTCCAAGTAAAATTTCATGAAAAATGGCTTTCGAGTTTACTTTAGGCAGTGAGAACAGTCAGGGAGTGAAGTTAAACTATATCTTGTTATATTGTGTACAACACCAAGTTTTCTGGCTCAGTATTTGCGGTTTTTTCTAACCAGTCTGACCAGTTGACGAATCCCGCTGAAAACGTCGCAAAATCTTACATCCTAAGTGGAATGCCCTGACCTCTTCACACAAATCAAGCGTCAATATTCGACATCCGTCACATTTTAAGGCAAGGCAGTATATAATAACACTCAACGAAGCTAGCTAAACATATGCATGTACTAACCGGAAAAAAAAGGCTCAGATAGTACTGAAACATCGTAAATGAATTAGTTGTGTTTTATTTACTTACAAAAAATAAAAGTAATCGAGCATGAAAACAAAAATCGAGATGTTTTGTTAAAATTTCCCTGTCGAAATTTACCTAAATGCGTGATAAAATTATTTGTTATTTTACTTGAGGGCAGAAATTAACAGGAAGAACCGGAATAATCCCGCGCAGCACACAGGCCGCAATTAAATTACATGTAGCAATTTTCTGTGATAATTTATTTTTAACAAAGTCAAAAATCCCAGGTGTTTCTTCGACAATTTAGCCTTCCAGCGAATGAAGAGTCTGAAAATAAAATAAATAAAATAAAAATCAGGAACAAAAAAAAAATTAAAAATTATCATATCTAATAAGAATTGAAAATCAATCATTTCCTTAAAAAAATGCCGAAGTTACAAAGTTGTTCGACTTCAGTAGTTGCGCCTGAAGTAGTTTTGGTGCTGTGAAATAATATTTACAATAACTTTAGACCTACGAAGTTTAATCAACTTGCAGAACAGCTGGCTCGGTAACAGTTAAATTCGACTCTTGGATAATTTACTATTTACACCCCCCCCCCCCCCCTAAACTTGTTAACGCGTCAACCTCTTTACCAAGCTTTCTCTTTCTTATGCCCACCCCGTTTCTCCCAAAAAGGTCGGCGGAAGAAAGAACGAAGATATTTACAATCTCTTTCCTCGTGGATTTTCCGGAACACTTTCCAAGATGAAAAACTGACCTAGCAAACCCCCTAAAGACGAGGCTGAGGTGTTTCCGCCCAGCTTAGTACAATATTGTTCAAGGATTGAGTAACGCTAATTATGCTTTGAGCAAGTTGAAATATTCAACCACTCGTCAGCCATCTATCCTTGTCAATCTTCTCCATCCTTTATCAAAACCGTTCCCATCCGGCTTAATCCTCTTGCTTTGAAGTTTTCCAGTTTCAAAAGTCGCGCTTTAGTGCTTTTCAATTGAATGTCGATAGAAATCAAAAAAAAAAAAAAGGAAAATACCTCGAAGGGCTGATGAGAACTCAAAGTGAAAGCAACCAAACTGCCTAAAGCGCGGGAAAACGCGGGCGACTAAGTCGTGATTGGTTTTAGTTTTTCATCTGATTGGTTGAGAAAGTGGCGCAAGTTTTTTAGTCCAATCACAGTCCCGGATTACTTTCGGCGCTCAATTGAAAATTAATACCTAATAAGACTCAAATTTATGTTACGAATCCCCCAGCGTAATCATCACCCTGTTTGTCTTACTTACAACAGTATGTACAATAATTGCCTTAGGCTACAGTGCACTAAAAGGAAAAGGGCTCTTACTTGCTGTACAAGACACAGTATACGTCACAATAGAACTTCATTACAACTGGAAATAAGAAAACAATGAAAACAATAATGTGACGTATACTGTGTAAGAGCCAGAAAAAGCAGAATTTGCAAGACCGCCAGCAGTCTCTTGTCTTCCTATCAGTACTGAATTAACAATTCATTGAATTGAAAATTTCCTCATTTGTCACCGTAAACGTTTCCTCGACAAAGCCAAAAGTATTGGCATCTGAAAGCGCTTAAGAAGTGTACTCTGAAACATTAAAATTTTTATCTCCGCCACTAGAAGCAAATTGAGGCAACAACTCCTTTTTGGGGTTGACCAGAAGGGTGAAAACAAGGAAAAGACAGACGAGTTACGTCACAGATCAGCGGCTAGGTTACTGAGTCAATTTCAAAGCTTATTTTGATATAAATAGCACATTAGGACAAGTGCGGAGGGTTAAGTTCTTTAAAAAGTCAAAATTGGTTAGTTTAATAATTTATCAATACTTCTTTTCAACGACGAAGATAAAAATGAGATGTTTTATGGAGCACACTTCTCTTTTAAGATCCATTTCGTCCAAAGGACCAGTCATGATCTTTCGCCGGGGGCAGGGGGGGAGGATTTCGGTCGGGATCACATGGTCATCAGACGGAACGGAGAAGGAATTGGTCGTCGGCACTGAGAATATTGGGAGGACCACGGTAAATGGCCTACCAACTAACTGCCAATCAGGAAGGGGGGGGACCAGTGAGAATATTGCAAAGCCTTATGAGGGGATCAGGTCAATTTTCTCGGGACGCAACCAAAATCTTCCAACCCCCCTCCCCCCCCAGAATAAATAATGACCGATCCCTTAGTGACCTGGTTCAGAATAGAGTTCATTCACAGGCACCTATTTTTCCTTGGGGTGCGTCACACACTGATGTTTTCCGCGACTCTGTCTCGAGTAAGAGAAGCGCTTGATAGGCGAGGGCTTTCAAATCATCCCTCAAGAACCCGCGAGGACAAGGCGTCCCCTTCATCCACTGCTCAGCCTTTTTCGCTGCCAGACTCCACTCGGCCTCGAACTGGGGTCTCTTACGATGCAACCAGCTCAGTGCAAGTGAAGTAGCCCACAGCTGTGAACTGTTGCCGCACTTATCGGAATTCATCAGCTCTTGAAGATCTTCGGCGACAAAAACAGAGTTGTCGGCCAGCGGAGAGGCTTGTTGGAGGCCGGCGAGTGGCAGCCCCAGGACCTGCGCAAAGGCATAATCTAGGTTCCAGTTTCCCTGAGCAGACTGTAAACTGACCATGCGCACAAAAGACAGATGCTGTTTGACCCCAGAACACCAATAGGTGTCTAGGCTAGAGGACTTAAGGAGTTTGGGTTTGATGTTTGAAGGATTTTGCTGCCTTTCACCCAACACGCATCTCGTGGACAAAGGAGGGATTTGCTTGCGAGGACTTCTGCTAGGAGATGAAAGGGAACTGTCACATTCTTTTCGTGGTCCACATTCTTCGGGCTGACTTTCTGGAGTACCTTTAAAATGCAAAGTACTCCGCATAAGTACGATAAGCGTTTATGTGGTTTATTCTGTGATGGAAAACAAAATAAATTATTTACCCGTTCGCTCCAAGCGATAAAAATCCAAAGGCTCTTCCCCTGACTCGTAAACAGAGTTAGTTCTTCCTTCGGCAAAATATGGCGAGATATCGTGGTCGCTGCCATCTGGACTGGGTAGACGTCGTCCCAGGCCCTCCGTGAATCCAGAGCTTCGCTCAAGTACTTTAACTTTGCGACTCCTTTAAATAACCAACAAAAAAGAAATGAATTTTTTTGCAATAACCATTCTTAAGGCGGTCTTCATAAATTACATATTTTGCTGTCAAAATGACCCCTAACGCAAAAATGAATAGTTTGTCAAATTAGTTTTCCACTCACCCAAAGCCTGGTATATTTTCTTTCTGAGGGAACTGCAAAGCGCTTAAGACTTGATCGTCATAGCAATATTGGTCACGTGCGACTAGCGCTGTGTGCCTGGAATGAACGCTGGACAGCTCGCTAATCCTCTTCACGACGTCAATGGTCTCCGCACTCCTCGACTCTACAGAAGACTGCAGTTCCCGAATGAGCGAACGCGCCAAAAGCTGGTGGATTGTGGGACGCTTTGAAGAGCCACCGCATCGGTTCACTGGAAATGGAATGACTTGTTCCATTTCTTCGTCGCCGACAAATCCCTTAATGTTTACTGCACCAAAGTCGGCTGGCACGCCAAGCTGCGACAGGAATTCGCTGTTTTTGTAAATGTGGACGGCTGCTTTTCTTGAGCAGTCGAATTCCTCCATGGCAGGACTGCTACTATTCCGAAACCACGCGTTTGCTTCTTCGTCTCTTTCCTCCAATTCTCCGTCTAGCTCTGCAATGGTGTTCTTGCTTTCATCCGGACTTTTGTCACTGTCTTCCATACTGAAACCAACACCGCTGTCACGCTCGTAAGCGCGCGCAAGCTTTGGCGATCGCTGTTGCTCATGGGAATTATCAGCGGGCTCTTGTTTCTCAGGAATATCTTCTCGCCCCTGAACATCATTGAGAACCCCGTCCGACACGATGTCTTGTAATAACATGTTTGCTGGTCTGTGATTGATTGAGTGCAAAGCATTATTATTCCGTTCGCGTTGTTCCGGGTTGTTCGACGGCTGGCCTGTCGTGGGATCCCATTCTTTGGCGTCACAAGATCCGCACTGTTCGTTGCTTTGGAGTGCGTCTGAGGATTGTCCTTTCCCATCATCAGCTTCATCATCTTTTTCTTGGCTAAATTCCTTGTACATGCGCTTAAGAAGACCATCAGCGAGGGCTTCTATTGTATCTGGTTCCATCTCAGCATTGAAGCCGTCCTGCATCGGAAGCTCCCCTTCAACTCTGTAAATTTCGTCCTTTTCAAAGTCATCTCCGCTCAAGTGAAGCGATTCCTCCGCCTCCAACAGCAGCTGGTCCTCCGCAAGGAGATCACATTCGTCTTCAAACCAAAAAACTTTGACAGAGCTGTTTGAAAACGACCTCATACTCCAGTCCATTTTCCGCTTGATGGGTGTTCTAGGAGATTCTTTTTCGTCCCCTGGGGGCCGATACAAGATGCCGTATATCACAAGGCGTTTATTATTCTGTACGAATGGCAGAAGTTGAGGGGTTTGAATGACGTCATAACCATCAGGAAGGTGCCAGCTGACCTCTAGGTCCGTAATCGCGGGCTGAAGTGCATCTGCCAGTGCTTGCATAACCTAAGAACAGAAAAAAAGTAGCTTTAAAAAAAGGCAGATATCGTAGAATGCTATATCACACTTGTCACACTCTATGCATTGCACGCTTTCGATTTTTCAGAAAAGGTGTATTTAAATAAGCAACGCATCCTTAGAAAGACTTGGACTACGCACTACTAAACAAGAGGCATACCAAAAGAAACCACAGTCACAATTTCATCATCACCCGAAGTAGTACCTTACAATAGAGTATCCAATAAACCTGTCATTTCCTAACTTTGGTCTGCATATTCTCCCAACGCTTCTCTTTGTATTTCCGACAGTATTGATAAAGAGAATTCGTTCAGTGATCTAGAGCTTCGCAAGTTTTCGATCAGTTTCTTCATTCCCATGACTGTAATGTTTGGCTCCGAGTTAATATTGTTAGGAGAAGTGACTGATAGTCACTTTAGAGGAGAAAGGCTTAATAAGGGAAAAAATTTTCATTAACTGTCAATAATGGTGAGCAAGTTACACTTCTGACCTGCGTGAAAGCGCAGGTCAATCGAATTCAGTAAAAATAAAATACATGCAATCACATCGCAATTTCAGACCCAGAGCTTTTCCTCAGAAAATTGGGAAAGGGCTGGAAATCAAGGGAAAAGCCTTAACAACGAGGTCGATCAAAACAGCCAATCAGAAAAAAAAAGGGAAAATTTTGCAAGGAACCAATCAGAACTCAAAGTAAACACACGTGACGGGCCTAAAGCGCGGGAAAACGCTGATGGCCAAATCGGGATTGGTTTAAATTTTAAATGTATATTTACTTTGACTGGCATCCGCTCATCATCCGCTATAAAGTATGCTTGCCCTCTTCCAGCACCGGCAACGCCCTGAACCAAATGGGGGCAAGCTTCCGGTCCAATCCCAAACGTGTAGAACCTGGAAGCACACATGACAAAAATTGAAAAAAAAAAACTCCAGGTGAACGAAATAACGAATAGTTCTTTTCAGCTGTTTCAAGAGAATAGGAAAATTAGAATCAAAGGTTTTTTTTTAATTTATAACTTTCCAGAGCTCTGAGCTCGCTAACGTTTCTTGCTAGTTAAAGATTTGCTAAGCTGCAGAGGTAAAACATTTTATTATCTTTCCAAGAAGGGGAAATTCTGTCGCGATCTACGTACGCTCAGTTTCAATTACATGTGCCGGGTTTGTCTTCCGCTGTGTATCTGGCTCACTTGACAACGGCGAAAAATTTTCCTCTTAGTGTTCGGATAGGTCCATTACGACTTCAAAAGCACGCAGTGAATACTTGGATTGCAGTGATAGCAATTTTGTTAAAATATTTTATTGATTGTTATAACGCTTTCCCCATAGCTACTTTAACCCTCTCTCAGAGACTGCACGTTGCAAATTTTCAATTGATTTTCTAACAGGTCCATGACAGTCCACTTTAATAAGGGCGGGCATTATTAAACAAGCCTTCTTGGAGGGATCTGAGGGAGAATTCTACCTAAACACGTCGTTGTCGAGGCTAGAGAGGTTGAATTACATGAATGAGGGAGTCACCGTTTATGAGAGGAGTCTAAAGTTTAGTGACGTTTTCTACTTTGCTTGGTTTGAAGGTGTTTTTATTCCTCTCTTGTAGAAGACGTACGTATTCACTTTATGGAGGTGCGTGCCTTTCCATCAAAGGAACAAGTAGCAGTACTTAGACACTCCTCAAAAATATGTATATGCCGTCGTTCTATTAGCACCTACACATATCAAGTGTTCTTGAAACACGGTGTTACACAATAAATAGACTAACTTATTTTTGGTAAAATTGGGTTTTTTGAAATTCAAACAATTTTTGCAGCTGTAGCATTGACGTCAGTAATGTAACGAGCTAAACAGTAAGGTTGAATTTCGCTTTTACAAGAATAGGTAAATTAAATTCATTGTACAAACTGCCAAAAAAAACTTTTAATGAAGTGTCAGGCAGCTCTTGTCCAAATGCTTTGAAAGAAGTCGTTAAAATCTCTCTTTTATCAGAGCGATAGATTAAAGTTCCCTCGCCGACGGACAAACGCTGACATCCGAAAAATCGGCTACTTTTTAAGAGCTAAAGATTTTGCTATCAGCAATAGCAAAAATTAAAAAATAACAATAATAATTACACTTCGACAAATTTGGCAGTTCAGGTTAGGAACTGAAGATCTTTTTTTCCTGTCTACGTTCGAAGAACATCCAAATCATCTTGAACTTTCTGCGACTAACAATTCCTTCTAATTCGCAAGAAAATTTCGTGCGAGAGGCAAATCTAATTATAATTATAAAAGGTAGTTCCCGGATAGTTAATGACCGAGTTCATTTTATCCTCCAAAAATGACTCATGGCGGATAAGCAATTGCGTCGGCAGGTCTTTCTTATCGAGATTAACCATCTCCGGTCCAATCTGCAGGTTAAAATTCACTACTTTCGCTCGATCTTTCAAATGGTACCACCTGTTCCAACTATCATCTTTTGTTCGAAATAATAATTCGTATGCAAACCACATTGTGGGCCTATCCGGTGACAACTTTCATGCTATGCGTTCAGAATTAGTCTTCACATGTTTAATTATTTTGCATTCATTTATTTGTATATATTTTTATTTTATGCGCAGTTTTTCGTAAACGTGCAGATATCAGTTGCGAACGATTCATCGAAAATTATAAATTTAGATTTGATGAAAACTGTTCCTAATTCCAAGGTGTCATTTTCCCAGTCTGAGGCATTAATTCAAATTTACGAATATTTGTTTCGCCCTCTCCACCAAATTTTCTGAACACAAGATATCATGAAACTGATATTTTGTATTTGTCTGTAAGCAAATAAAAATTAATTCTAAGTTTATTAAACGACATGAAAATATTCAAGGTGTTTACCACACTCTAGCCAGTCTAAATAATAAAAAAAAATTCGAACATGAGTAACCGCAAGTTTGTATTCTTCAATTTTCCCAGGAATCAGAGAGAAAGAGAAAACTTCATATTATCTTCAATGAGAATCTCGTTTTGTCCATATTTCCATGAACCTTCCGCTTCAGACTAAAATAAATTACTTTGCGTTGAAAACCCAAACTTCGAGCTATATTTTGACAGATGATAATTCTGATATTGTCTTCGCTCGTTTTCAAAACGTCAAAAATCATTTTTTATAAACCCGCCGTTCGTTAAGGCGATTTAATAAGTTTGAAATCTAAACTAAAATTTATGGATCTAAGCAAAATTCGACAGAAGAATTGAAACAGATCGCTCCCAGTTTCAAAACATTCATTACCCATAGTCAATGAACTTGTGTTTTAAATTCAAAATAAATATTTAGAGAACCATTGAAAGAAAGCAAAACCCGATCGCTCCACCAGATTTTATGAGTAAATCTTGAGTATGCAAAAACCTACCGAACAATACACACTTCGAAAAGTCTTGAAAAAAAGGAGGCCTTGCCTAACAACTTTTCAAAACATTGGATACGTTTACATTGACATCATGTAACTACAAAACTGCCTAGAGGATCACAAGCTACTTAAAAAAACAACAACTAAAGAGGTTTACTCGATGGTTTTACACTATTGAAACATTGAATATGAACGAAATGTCGACGAAAGAGACGAAAAAGGAGATTTGAAAATTAAGGCACCTTCTCGGTTAACAAGCTTTGTTCCAGTTAGTTAGAGCCGTAGCAACCAATTATTTGAGCGTATCGTTCGCTTAGATCGCTTGCCTTGCTAATTCCAAAATTTTTTACGGCAGAATTAAAACTTAAAAATAATGGATCATAGAAGATCGAAAAAATTCATGATCGAAGCGCGATTAATTATGTCAAAACAAAAAATAATGCCTTTTCGCAAGATCTAAATTTAAAAAAGCCTGTAAGGTAACACCTTGGATCGACGTGTTCAAAAATAAAATATTCGGCTAGCACGAGGAAATTATCAGCAGTTTCACCTGTACTGAATATCAAATGTGCCAAGTTTTTCAAACCTTAGCCGGAACTTGATGAAATCGATTTTCAACAAAAAAATTATTTTAAGAATTCAAAATAAATTTTTGAAACTTACCGGGTTGTATAGGAATTTCGACGTACAAAATCCACCACCTCTACCGTATTGGATATACCTCCATCAGTAAGCATGAATACAGTTCTCCCAACACCGAGCTTTGTCGGCTTTTCAAAGATGAACTCCAAAGGAAGAAGGAGATTCGAGCCACCCAAATCGGCCCTCATTTTGTGCACGTAAGCGCAGGCTGTTCCTAGGGTTGCCTCGTTGTATTGCTGGCTGTCTTGAAAAAGACTTCTATAGTACGAGCCGAACCCAATGACATTGAAGTAACAGTTAGTTGGCAAACTCTTGAGAAACAAAATCAATGTTTCTTTGACGTGGAATATATGATCTCCGCTCATACTTCCACTTCGATCCACTAGAAATATGTACTCGCCAATGCCGCTTACAGAGGGCAGTCTTGGTGTGTAGTTGATCATTATAGCGGCATTTTTGTGAAAATCTTCCAGTGTTTCTGACTGGTTGGCACAGTTGTCCATTTTCATTTGAGTGTGCGTTGAGTTAAAACTTTTCTTTCCTTCCTCGATCAGAACATAGGGGTCAAACGGATGTGAAAGATGAAGAACAACTTCGAGTTCTCGATCGTAAGTGTGCGCTTCGGCGATCGTGATGTGAATTCGAGAAGCGTTCGTTGCCCGGCAATCGGCGTCAACCTGAATTGCGTGCGTTCGCGAGGAGCAGCCAGCTAATAAACACGGCGCGGCTACTTCTAACTGAAGCTCAAAGCTGTACGGTTCTTGCGTCTTGCGAGGAATGTTGGTAATAAGCATTTGCGAGCCGTACAGATCCGTTTCTTCATTTTCGTCGTTCGCCAAGCGAGGGGTGAATACAGACGGCAAAATAAACAATGATCCGCCGGTTGCTTCATCTGTTCCCAGCTCTGTAATCAGAGTCACTTGAACAAACACGGAGCTAAGTGGAGGAATTCTCCCCAAACTCAGCGAAAACAGATCATCATCTCGTTCTTCTAAAGCGAAGGCGTGTTTTTCGGAGTTGCGTGTGATTGTCTCCGAAATTTGTGTTGAAACATGTCTCTCCTCTATGGTCGCTTCGAATTCAACAACCGTAGCCCTTTCATCTTGCGGGAAAATAAAAAGCCCTTCCACGTCGTATTCGCAATCGTTGTAATACGTTAGTGTTGCTAAAACTCTCGCCGCAAATCCATTCACTTCAGCAAAAATACTCGATGCCTTCAGTTGAAGGCTAGAGTTTGTATGCCGGTTCACAAGTCCGCTCATGTTTTACTTGTTATCACCTCAAATCGATTCTTTCCGCCGATCATCCGAATTACTTTTCAAATAAATTTATTGGCGCTTTCAGCAACTCCTCGAAAAAAAAAATTAAACACACCGTCAAAGCGAACGGAATTTTTCAACTTAAAATTCCGGCCGCAAATATCAAACGAATTTCATATTCATTTCCATCAATTCCAGATGTGCCTCTATTATTGTAATTTGGTCCGAGTGCTTAGGTTTTTGACTTAAAAACAATTTACAGGAGAATCGTTTGTTAGTTGAAACATCCGTTTTGTGCTTACCAGCCAATAAATGAAGTAACCCACTACTAAATTTAGGCGGGAAGCCATTCGCATTGATAATCTTTCCATTACCCAAAGTGAGCGGACCGCGAGCTCACAAACTTGCCAATCAGCGCGCGAGGATTTACCGAAATTAACTCCTACTTTAAATCATGAACCAATCAGATTTCGCGTCATACATCTCATGGTGCGTTCTTTTTGGAACAGACAAAAACGCTTCTAGTCAACAAGTCTCTATTTTGATTTTGGCGTAAATCTCGTTATAACTTCGAATATTTCGTTTTTTTAAAGCAAATTTTTACGATCCTCGTTTTCTTTCAGAGAAAGGTTTATTTAAATTTGACGGAGTTTATGAAATAATTAATTTCACGGATGATACCTACATAATTGTCGGAGGTGACTTTTTGCTCGGAATCTTAAGTTTGCATATAATTATCAAAAGTAAATTGTAGAATTCTGTCGAAATGTCAAGCCTGCGATAGTACACCATGCATTATGCGGCGAAATATATAACTAAAAAAAAAATATTCAGGAAGGAAGAGAAATGGAGTTTTAATAATAAGCGATTTTAAAACACGAACCATCGCACTCTTTTTGAGAAGCTTTCAATTTCCTTATCGCGCAATTTGAAGATAGTGCTTATTTGCAGTTATTTGCAATGAGTTATCTCTAGGGAAAGAATAGGTTTTAGAACGAATATCGCAAATACTTCGTACAATCTAACACGGAATCGTCTGGCGAGCGCGCTGGCGTAGCCAAAGAAATGTTTATGCGTTTCGTTTATCTCATAATAAAAACTGACTCTGAGAAAAGCAATTTTACTGCAAATTACTTATCACATTCTGAAGATATTTGAAAAAAGGCCTGATACCTTTGATGTAGCGATAAGAAAGCTCTAACACCGAGCTTGATGTTAAGCGAATGAAGAAATTAAACAAAAGTTTCATTGCAAACAAAATTGGGCATGCATGCTTAACTTAACTTAAAATCAGCCACATCTCTTTATTAAAACACGTTCTAAAATAAAATCGAAGCTTTGATGGCGTGAAACAGGCGAAAATCTTATTTCTTCTCATGAGCTTTAAAATTAAGCGTAGATGATATTGGACTGAGTTTTAGCTCAATAAACAAAAACTGAAAAATAACAAATAAATTAAGAAAAGGCAAATTTCTGAGCGACTTCTCTCGCGTTACTTGAACGAAAATAACGCTTCTTGAAATTTGTTTTATTTAATTCCTGTTCTTTTATGGACCTTTAATGCATGATGGAACCAGTGCAAACTTTAAAGCAATTTATAAAAGCCCTACAAATTTTCCAATGCTAAATTTAACACCACTATATGAATTAATACATACGTTTTCTGTCGTATTCTGTTTCAGTGTATCTATAAATCAGATATGTCAAATTAGATTAGGCAACGAGTTTGAGGGCTGTCGCATTAAATCAAGTCCAATTAGAGAACGATTCTAAAGCCAGTATGAATATTTGTCAGCCGTTTCGGTTATTTAAAAAAATACATATATATATCCCTTTAAGATTTTAATGCTCTTTCTGCATTGAATCAAAGTCATGGAAACATCTGGAAATAAATAAAAAAGATAACGAAAAGATTCTTCTTTAATTCTGACAAGTCCCACACACAAGCGAAATGATCTTGCGGAAATGATTTGGCAGACAGATTTTCATGGACTATGATAAATTCTACTCTAATCCAATTTCAAAGACATGTAAAGATGTTATTCTTTCAATCAGCACAAACTCCATGAATCGATAATCTGAATGTGCATATATAACCACTGTAACAGATAACAGATTTACACCAAGTTCTTGCTGTAGTAATAATGGCTAAAAAAACTAACGCATATCAGTCACGTTTCTTTATAAGACATGTCCTTTTTCGAATACAGTTGAGTTCACCGTTTCCAGGTTGACTTAGAGCGATGATATCAATTTTCCTTTTCTTCTTATCAGTTCATTGGAGAAAATGCAGAAAGTTGATTTACCAACTTTTAGGAGTCAGTGAAGATCACCGTTACTTGGTTAACGCAGAAAGATGTTATCAATAGTTTTTAATTTTCATCAGAGAAAATGCAAAAAATCTGATGAACTGATAACTAGGCTACATTATGAGGTGATTTGATGGAACACCAACAACTATATCCTCTGAAGGAAAGTGTTTAAAATAGTCCGAGTCTTAGTAAAGATTCAAACCAGAGATAATTACGTTTTTAGATTGATATTTTGGCAAAAATTGTATTAACTGTTTCGATAATCAATGTAGAAAAGCGTTCAGTTTGAAAGACGGTAGATTTCAAACTTGGTCGTCGATTTAAGATTAAACACGCACGTTTAAACATCCGAAGGCTTTCCTACTCTTTTTTTTCACGGTTTTAGTACTTTTAAATCTTCATACAACCATGGCCAGCTACTCTATTAATAACGTTTAAAGGGCGACTACTCTATGTTTTAATACAAAAAAAAGTCAGTTTGAAATACGAATTTTGGAATGGAAATAGCATATAGATTTGTAAGAGGCACGTCAAATGTTCAAGTTTAGTGGACACGAGCTGTTTATCCCCTCCAAAAGGCCAAAAATATAACATTTATTAACTTCTCCTTCTTCCCAGCTATCTGTTTTTTGAAAGCATTGAAGGCAATCAACACCTCATCATCGCTAGAAAACACCAAACTGAACTTTCCACAGATAATTAAATTATATCTCCTAGGAAGATAAAGGAATGAAGTTCCGACAAATATTGATCGAATGTAATCATTGTTACAGAATTATTAGGCTTTGTTTTAAATAATCCCCACGACGAAAGAAAAATCGTGGAGACTGCTGACAACGAAGTGCGGCACGAGAGGAAAATAACAGAAAACAACGGAAAAAATACGCAGCAAGTTGGCGGAAAGAACAGTAATTGGTAATGAACGGTTTTACTCGTAGTGAAATCCTAAATACATTAAGAGAAAAATAAAAAGCCTTTAATGAGAGATAGTTTCGACGAATAATTCTAAAAATGAATTTGTATTTTGATTTTCTCAGAAGTTAACCCCTTATTACCGCAAGTGAGCCCCGAGCACGATTCAGTGTTCTTTCTGTATTATGAGATTTGAAGAATTATGTTTTTTTCGTCTTCTCTCGAGCGTGTGACAGAGAGGGAAATTCTGAGCTCCCACGAGCAAATGCACCCCAGACCCTCAGATACCGCGCTCCGATGCTCTAGCACTGAACTTCAAAGAACTCTATAGTAAGCAATGCTATTACACACGTCATTGACACACGTTCTTCATGGCAACTCTGTTGAAGAGTTTCCCGTTTGAAAGACGGTAAATAAAGGACTTGGTGGTCGTGAGGAAAAGGTAAAAAATTTCTCAGGAGCGCAAGAAATCTACGCTGTAGTGCGTTCCGACAATCAAATATTTAAGACCCTTAAAAATATAAATTCCACCAACTTTTAACGAAAGACGCAGAGAAAATGAAAAAGAAAATACGAAAATTATGAGATAACAAATTTCTCGCGATTAGCTCTTCCATCACGCGAAATTGCTAATCATATTTAAGCAAAATCCTTATTTTAGGTGAGTTATTCGGTAGAAACGTTTCTAGATGTTGCGCCGGAAATATTTACGTTATCGCGTCATTCCAAACGCCACCACCAATGTTCAATTTTTGTCCTATACGAAAAAAAATATATAAAAGAAAAAACCTTCATTTTTCATCCTACGCAAGCAGGAAGGAAAGGTGAAAACAAAATTTCAAAAGCTTTGAGAAATGTGACAAATAAGCGAATAAGCATATGTAGTTTTACACGTCGTCGGAAGCTAAGGTCTTACGAGATAAAAATTTATTTAATTGCGATAGACTCGTGAAAAGTAAACAGAGGAAACGACCCTAATGAGTTTCCTTTAATAATCTCTGCGTGCCTTCTATTCTTCTGTTTCACTTGATGTGTCCTCTGAGATAAATTCATATTCAATTATCTTCAATTGATGTTGCTGTAAAATTTATTCGTGATTTCTATATAACAAAAAGAACAATAAAGCTGTCATGATCGCATGCACGTGCGTGGTGTGTGAACAACGCACGTGATAATAAGCTTTTCTTTGCGCACGTAGGACATTTCAACGTTCAAAATACCTTTCCAACTATTAGTCAACTTTTAACCCCTGTTCCCTTAAAAATTTTGGAAATTTTGTTCCTTTGCAAATAAATATTGCTTGTATGACTAATCTAGCAATGAACATTTGAACTCTGGGAATTAGACACACGAAAAGTGCTGGATCTTTGCATACATCATGAAATTTTTACTAATTTTCATATTAATTACTGAAAGTACTATGTTGAAAGATCTCTGTTCAAATAAAATAAATTTTAATGTTGGAATAAAGACTCTTCCATTTTAAGAAGCTCTGATAATATTTCTGGACATGTAAAACCTTTTTTATTATGAGCAATAATTTAAATAGCAGACTACTATCTCAGTAATCCTTGTCATAGTCTTCTACAATAAAGATTTTATTGTTTAACAAATATATTCTGTTTTTTAGTATTTGATAAGTAATATATCACAGATGACATCAAAATGAGTTGTGAGAGAAGAACCTGTCATCTTTTACTGTATAATTCAGCTTATCGTGTGAAATAAAGACTCTTCCATTTTAAGAACCTCTAAGGATATTTCTGAACATGTAAAACCGTTTTACTATGAGTAATAATTTGAATAGTTGACTACTATCTCAATAATCCTTGTCAAAGTCTTCTACAATGAAGATTTCATTGTTTAACAAATATGTTATGCTTTTTAGTATCTGTAAAGTAATATATCACAGATGACATCAAAATGTGTTGAATGAAAAAACAAAATGGTTGATGCTCTGACAATATTTTGATGTGTTCTGTTATCTTTTACTATCCAGAGCCACAGCAATGTGGAATCTATTTGTTTCATATGACAAATAGTAAAATGTTGTTCATAGTGACATCATCCATGCGTCTGTCCTCCAATAGATTATGCATAAGAACCAAAATGCGTATATAATTTAGCTTATAAAGAGCAATAACCAATGAAATACTGAAATTATCCACACCAGACATCATGGCTTCTTTAAAAACCATATGAGGCAGACAATACTCTTAGTTGATCCCAGAAGAGTAAACTCAAGATTGTGTGCGGACCAATTCTGAAATAATGTGGTCCAAAACCCTTATATAACCCTAAAATACCTTCTTGTTTGAATACTTTGACGAAGCAGTCTGCAAATCCATTATATAACAGTCCCTTACCACTTGCACTGGTGCCTTGGTTGTAAAGGCGTGTACTTACCACATCAAAAGGTGTCATAAATGTAACCACTGCAATACTGCTTATCATGCTGGCAGAAGCTGGGATAAGCCAGCTCCTTGCTGGAAAGAAATTTGTTTGCAAAATTTTTTCCTTGGTGGTTGAAAAAGTTGATAACTGAACTGCAGATCCAACCATTACGCGGGCAAGAGCACCACTGACCCCTCGCCAAAGTCCTTTAATGCCAAACTGCTGGTAAATACCAGATATTGCTTGGAGAAAGCCAGTGTGTCTATGCTGAAATCCAACTGCTATTGTGTCTGTAGCTTGAGATTGCAGTTGTGTCTTTACCTTACATAATTTAAAAGCATAACACACATCACATCAGCAGTCATGTAAAGCCACCTATTCCAGAAAAATTCTTACAAGTATATGGCCATTGCCTTGATCCCTGTTAAATTACAGTTTATTTCAGGGGTGATTTGTGATTCATGAAATGAATTTGACACTTTGACCCTAAAAGTGACGCATTAAGGCCATGGCGATAAAGGAAATAATCACTAAGTAAAGCAGCTCTTGATTATTTAACAAATTCTCCTTGTTAAAACCTGAAGAAATGTATGGTGAACAGTATGGAGAATATGCGTTCTGATGTTAAGGTGTTAAGGGTGAAGACACAAACGGAGCAAAATTTAAGGTGCAAGTTTTTAATGGTTGATGAGGAACCAAGAGTGGAGACAAATGAGTAAAGGGGGTAAGTTTCTGAAGAAACTGTGGTGCTGTCTTGGTGGGTTGGGAGAGAGATTACAAGATAATTAGATTTTATCAACTGGGTTGATAGTGTAAATTGGTCACCGTAAAAAGCTTTTAAAGCTGATATGTTGAGCGTTAACCCTTGGTCAGAGCGTCTGAACATTCAACAGATTTGTAACTTGTGTGACAGTCACGCTACGTGATAATGATTTGTTCTTTCCAAAATTCTTGATCAATGTTGAACGTAGCGTGATACATCATGAAATCTAAAAGCTTACGTATACAGAGTATCTTTTTACAGCTAAGTACTTACCATGTATGCCGGACTCGCTAAAAAAGCTCCTGTAGCTCCCGAAATGCCACCGGCAACTAGGCAACGCCAAAACACAATTTCACCTTCGCTGTCGGCAGTCAGTTTTAAGTTTGTAAAGACCTGATAAGAACCGAGCCGGCAGCCGTTCATCACAGCTTGGTAAACTAGAGCAGGAACAAGTCCGCTCTGCAACGATCTGAGGCCGTCGTATCGACCGATCGTGTAAAACGCGTGGAAAGCGTTCTTGTAATGGACCGCGTACGTTCCCCGCGCCTTCAGTTCTCCTTGAAGTTGCATCCGTGTTTTGGCAACTTCGAGAGGATTTGTGAACAGGCAAGCACCACTGGCAGCTGTAGCACCTAACCCAAATTCTTTTAACTGTTGTTGCATTTTTGAGCAATGTGGTGGAGGTGGAACTAATCTTGTTTGCGCAAAACTTGATCTTTCATGTCCCGGGTTTTACGGCTTTTGGGATCAGCGGTGAAACGCAGAAGCATAGATTTTACGTTCTCTGTCAGTGGTCATTTTTTAAACAACCAATCAAAGTGCTTGTTTTATCGATTTAGTGCGCCATGCTTGATTCTTCGAGTACATCTATAGCGGTGAAATATGTTGCGTATCTCTCGTCAAATTTTACAAATCCAGAACGCATCCAAGGCATGTGTGAGGACTATGGCAAAGAAAAGAGAATACACGAAGAAAACTACGAGGAAAATGAGAGAGGAAGGGTGGGTTTTTGACGATAAAGGACAGCCTAAAAAGAGACTTCCAGATATTAAAATCCCTTCTAGATTGAATGTTATTCTGTTGGATGAGCACGAGAAGCTTGGAAATGCAGGACAAATGATTTCTGTGAAAGCTGGATACGCCAGGAATGTTCTGGTACCTGAAGGAATTGCTATCTATGCAACGGAGGAAAACAAGAAACGATTTCTTAGCTTTGATGCTGTGGACGACAGCCCTGAAACGCCTGTGTGTCCGAGATTTTTAAAGTTTCTGCAAAGTACTCAATTGAAAATTCAACGAAAGGAGGGGAGCGAATTTTTCGAAGTGAATGAGCATCATATAGCTTTGGAATACGAATCACAGTTTGAGCTGTTCGTGCCAGTACACTGTGTAAAACTAGAAGAGCCCATAACAACATTTGGAGACTTTGAGGTCAATATTGCGGTCAGGGATAATGTTCTGGTGCCTATGAAAATTACCGTGGAACAATGGAGCCCTGATTTGCCAGACTGGGTTGAAGCAGCCTTGAAAACTGAGAGTGATGAAGAGGAGAAAGTGCAAGCTAAAAGCGACTGACGTTTGGGAAACACAAAAGGGAATCACTTTGAATTATGAAGCTTGAACATCCCCCCCCCCATGGGCATTTGACACTAAAGGCCCTCCTGGGGTGGGGAGAATGATTCTTATTGGCCAAAAACCCAACGGCAGCATTAAAACCACTATCTAATGATCACAAATAATCCCTTATTAAAAAATTGTGGTGGAGTAGGGCATTTAAAAGGGAGGAAGGAGAGAGGGATGTCGAAGTTTAGAATTGATTGATGCACTCTCATGGGCTTTTGACTTTTTAGACACAATGCAAAGAAAGGTGCTGGGCTAGTTGTCCAGATTCAAATTTTGGACATGAGCCAGAAGCTACAGCAAGTAGAGGCTTATACCTGAACCACTCCACACGTAATATGAATTAACCCTTTCACCTTAAAATCAGTATGCATATTCTCCACACTGTCTTCTGCACATTTTCCATGGAACTGACATGCAGAATGTGTCTACCAATCAAGAGCTTCTTGTGTTGGGCATCATTTCCCTTAATCTCTAATTCAGCAGTGATACAGTAACAAAAAAGCTTTTCTAAGGGTTATATTGTTAATAAAGAATGCCAAGTTTTCTCTTTTTATGTGGTTTCAATTTATATTCTGTAGGGTGTTCCTATTTTTGAATAAGTTCCTACAAGAAAATGTTCTTAACCCTTTACACCCCAACATCAGTATGCATATTCTCCATACTGTCCTCTATATGTTCCTAAGGTGCAGACAAGGAGAATTTGTTTTTATTCATATAACTTAAGAGGAAGTTTGAAGGGTACACGATATCTCAAATCTGACAGTTATGCCAATGATTTTGCAACTCTTCAAAGCAATATGAGGCTTCCAGGTTAAATTCTTGTCAGTTAGCACTCCTAACTGGACTGACTCTCCTCAGCAAGGTTATGAAAATCCTGTGTTTATCTGGCCTCCCAAGGAGGAAAGATGAGACATCTTCCACCTCTTGTTTTCATTTTGCTGTGGCAAAAGTAAAATTAAGGGGTAGAAACTCTACTATGAGCAGGATGAAATAACAAAATGGAAAATTGTGATTTTTTTTTTTGAATGAGAAGTGGGGAAAAGCGAAAACTAAAAAGAGACAAGAAAGAGGAGACTAAAAATTAAAAAAAAAGAAGAATCTTTCAAGTCTTGGTACATTATATTTACCATACATGACCCGACTACTGAGATTGAGGCTGAAATCTGATTGGCCCAGTGTAGCAAAAATGGCGGAAATTCTAAAATGTCTGAACGTAAAGGCATGTCACTTTGAAAACAAACAAGATAGGCGAACAAAGATGGTTTCAAACTTAAATGGGGATTAGTTCAGTTAGATGATAATTTCAGTGGAGAAAATGAGTCGTAAAGTCATTTCTCCAACGATGCGATCGAGTTCGAATTCATCGCCACAACACACTTTTGAGGTGATGCAGCGTCGGTTACAAATGGCTGAAGAAGAGACGAAAAAGTTAGTGGATCAACTGGCCGATTACGGTTTTAGCAGAGATCGCCCCGAGAATGATGAAAATGGTAAAAGTGGGAGAATTAATCCCGTTCAACCATTCAAAGCCACGGGATCGATCTCCCCAGAAACAGAAATTCTTCAACGAAATTATGAACAAATGGTTTCAAGAGTTTGTCGCGCTGAAAGTACAATTCAATCATTAAAACTTGCAATGTGTAGTCTTGAGGCTGAAAAGAATCTTGCCATGATAGATAAGGAGCCAGATATGGCGCCTCTTCCTAAAGATACGTACGAGAATGAGATTAAAAAACTTCGAAAGGACTTGCATCGGTACAAAAAAGAATTGGAGACTTGTGAGAAAGAGAAAAAGGAAAGCCAGACTGTGGTGAAGCGACTTGCTTCGGAGCTGGACACATCTACTCAAATTAACGAACAGAATAGATTGAAAATGGAAGAACTCAAGCTAAATAAACAAAAATCAATCAAGAAAATTAACGAGGTAGGTAAAGACCTCAACGATGCCTCTTTTATTTTTTTGGTGATATTTGTCGATTCCAAGGCGGCAAAAGAACTTAGCAAGCTTTAATTTGAACTATTCTTGTGGGCCTGTAAAAGTTCAATGCTATGCTTTTTTCCATGCAGTTTTTTAGTAGTCAGCCATGATGACAGTATTTCCAGCTTCACTTTTAACCTTAATCCCAAAGATCTGATGGTTAATTCTCCTCTTTAGCTGCTTGACATTTCCTTGTAAACGACTTTACTTTTTTACAATTTAATGACAAGAGAGAGTAAGAAACATAAAAAATGTCATAAGGATGGTCAACAAAAGGGTCACAGACCCCATACAAGATTGACCACCTTAAACTTAAGAGAAAAGAAAAAAAATTGGAAAAGGGAATTATGGATATAAAAAAGTAAAACTGATAATTGGCATATAAAAATGTATAGAAATATTCAAGAGATTATCAAGCAGCCAAGAAATCAGCTACATGTACTCCCTTCTTAGAACTGAAAAATACTTGGAGCACAACATAATTAGTTACAAGAATTTGACGCACAATCAAGATAACTTCTACCTGATAGGTTAGAGTATTCTCATTAACCGTTAGCTGTATGATTTGGGAATATCATAGAGAGAAGTTACATGTTAATCTCTTCTGGGAGTTGAAGGGCTATATAGCTGGAGTTGAAGGATGCAAGTCAACATAAAATAATTTTTTCTCCCTCTCTCCCTTAGCTTACAGACGAATTAAACAGAGAAAAAGATCTTCGATCAAGTCTTGAAGAATCGCATCTCTCTCTTCTTCAAAGAGTATCAGACATGGAAAAGATTGTAGAGTCTGGACGTGGGGATGTTCAGACATTAGCGCAGGACTGCCAAACACTGAGGAGGGAGGCTGTGTCAGCCAGGGAAGAGTTGGAGAAGGTACAGCAAGCTAAGGGGCAACTGGAAGTCCTTGTCACTCAACTTCAGGAAGATACAGGTGTAGTATATCCAACTAGATCAACAATGAAATTTTTATCAGCTTGCATTACAAAGCACTGGAGAATTTTCTGTTTCATTGGCAGATTTTTACATAATGTAATTCTCTGATTCATTGATTAAAAAATGAGAAAAGGGTTACAAAACAGTATTCAGCACTTGAATCAATTAGCTTATTCAGCCAGAGCTTATCGCAGTTTCCACTATGATAGCATGAAGCAACAAGGAGTATTACAACTCCCCCCTGGATGGGATGCAAGTCCATCCCAAGGTTACCCCCAGCATTTCATCAGGCTTCCCTGACAGTTAGCCACTATCCTTTTGTACTCATGATAGAGAGAGAGAGTCTCTGTGAGAGAGAAGTGTTTTGCTCAAAAACATGACACAGTGACTTGGCAAGATCTTGAGCTTGGACCTCTCAATCTGAAGTCCAGTGCACTGACTGCAGGGCCATCAGGTTACTCACTACTAAACAATATTGCTGAATAATTTGATATCATATTATATCAGTATACTGGTTTTCTAACTATTCATAATTTTGTCTCCTTATTTTACAGTAAACTCTGATTCTCAATTAGCTACTCTGACAGTGGAGAGAAAGGTTTGTCTCACTTTACCAAATACCAATTTCTCAGAACTAGCATTATAAGAAGTGTTTCTCAGACAGTAAGGAGAATTACTTATTCATGAGTAAATGGGAGTGATTGGGAGGATGGATACAAGTTAGTGATGATTTAGATGCAGACTTATTAATCGAAGATCTGTTTTGCTCCTATAGACTTTAAATGCAGATGTAACAAAATTCAGGAATGAGAACAAGGAACTGAGACAACAATTTGAAGTTCTTCGCAAGAGTTATGAAGATCTTAAGGTAAAAAGCTGGCTCTTGTAGAATCTGTAGATGTCATTCTCAATATCAACTTGCTTTTCAATGTGGAAAAATTTTGTTAATCAGCATATTGAAGTCAGTTATTGAAGGTAGTACTAAATTAAGCTCCTCTTTCTTTTCATTTAAATTTTTTAACCAGTTTTCTTGCGCTACAATTCAGGGAGCTCATGAAAAAATTCTTATGGAACATCACAGAACCAGTGATACACTGAAGACAATGACTGCAGACAACAAAGTGCTTGTCTCACAACATCAGGGTGCTTTGCAACGAGAACGAGACCAGTGGAATAATCGAATGGCTGAACAGGAGAGAGAATTGGAGAGATACAGACATGAAATAGCACAAGAAGTGGCCAGAGAAAAAGAAAAACAACATCACATGGAAAATGAAAGGTAAACATGAGTTGTCTGCATGTATTGTGCATACAATGTCACCTGTCTGTGTGTATTATGATATGTCATGCAATTGATATGATTTGAGTTCACCTTTAACGCCTAAGATTGATTGGCTTGCAATTTCTCCTTACAGATCCTCTTTTAATCAAAGGTCATGAGAATAAAGGAAATGATCACCAAATAAACCCTTTAACTCCCAGAAGTGATAAACATGTGACTTCTTCCATAAAACATCTATATTTAATCCAGCAAACATGCAGCGAGAATAATCAAACTTATCAGGTATAAGTTGTTCTCTTGATCTAACACCAAATTCTCATGACTAATATACAAGGAAATGTGTAGAAGTCAGAGGGAAGAATTAACTACCAGATCTTGGGAGTCAAGAAGCTCCTGATTGTCAAACAAATTCTCCTCGTCAACACCATTTGGAGAATGTGAATACTTATACTAGGATGAAAAGAGTTACAGTCTAAATGTGTGAATTTTTGTCATTCACCTTTTTTTAACCTTTACTTTTATCCAGATATACTCTTAAAGAAGAGATCAATAAGCTCCACAGGCAGTTGTTGGATGAGAGAGGGAAGACTGACCGACTGAAACAGGAATTTGTAAGTTTTTAACTGTAAAAAAAAGAGCTATTAATTCTATATTTTCTGTATTTACTAGCTTAACTCTTTGCCACCTTAGAGTGACTAGCATCTAATTTCTCCCAACATATTTCCCCTGAATCCCACAGTAGGGTGAGAAGAACAGAGGAAATGATCACCAACTAAAATGATTGTCAAATAAATTCTCCTTATCAGCACCTCAGGAGATGTATAGAGAACAGTATGGAGAATATAGGGGATGGCATCTTCTGACGTTTCTGCTCTCAAATGAGGCACATACAGTAATCAAGAGTAGTGCTCTTGAAATCAAGTTATATACAATGCCTGGATGTTTGATTTCTTTTAATTGTGAGCTGACTTAGTTCTTTGTGCCACTTTTCAAGATTTTCTCTCCTAGTGCAACTCCTGAAGCTTTGAGTAAAGTTAGCTTTATATCGCTAATTTTCAGGACAGAGAGGTGTTTACTCTACAAGCCAAGATAGAGGAACTGACCAGGGAAAGAGAGAATTTGACCAAAGAAAATGATGTCGTAAGAAATGAGGTACACTCACATGTGCATTTAGAACTTCTCATCAGTGTCTGAAAATTATGCACCAAATAATGGCTGTCTCTTCGTAAATGATCATTGATATTTTAGGTGAACCAAGCTGTTAGCGACTTTTCAAATGAAAGGGACAAAGTTGTTGGAAAACTGAAAGATGCTGAGGTAATTAAACATGAAACTTCAACTTTAGGCTTTTGCTCATCGCTCGCATTTTTCCGCGCCCCAAGGCTCGGAAAATACAACGCAACTCGCAAAATATTCACCTGTATTTTATGTTAAACCATGGAATAAGTGTTTCCCTTGCAATTCACTGGTAACTATTGTCACAGGGATAGCTCTATCTTTTCAAATCAGAACTTTATTTAGACTGCTAACACACAGAAGCTAGTTTAAGCTAAAAACATAGATATAATTTAAGTTAACCGAGATTAAAAAAAAAAAACCAACAAAAATGAATACAAACGAAACGAAAGGAAAATAGTTACATTGATAATGCCTAATATATAATTACAAAAGCGAATAACTTCTAAGTTGAAGAAGACTTTTGGACAGAGAACTGCGCTAAGCGCGACTTAAGGTAAAAGAGACTGGCTTTAAATTCAAGAGGACTGCGCTATTACGTGCGGTATGAAAACGCACGAAAAAGTTGTAACTGACGAAGAAAAACGATAGCAAACTTAACAAAAAACACCGAGGAGGAGGTATAATAAAATAAAGGGCGAAATAATTAGAAAGCGCTTTAGATCTGACACCTATCGTTAACCGCTTGGCTACCGCGCCTCTCATGGACCTGTATTTGCACAACTAACGTATCATCGTCTTCTTAATAACTAAATTTATTTTCTAACCAGGGAGAGATCCATGGTCTGGAAGAATCAAAGAAGTTGCTTGAAGAGGAAAATCAGAAACTACTGGAAAGAATTTGTGCTCTTGAAGAAAAACAGGTACTGATGCAGTCAGGATCCGCCTCACAGCGACATACGAAAACGTGAAGTTTCAAAGAAGTTTTTATGCTTCATCGGATGCCTTCTCGTGAACGATCATCATCAGAAGCACAGTGAAAAATATTGATTGACGTTTCGTTTCTCGAGCATTGATTTACATGAAGAAAACGTTGCTAAGACTAAAATTCTGGTTGCCACTGAGTGGTCATTTTTTTAATCTCATTGATGACAAACTGGTCGCAATTTTTGACCTTTGCAATTAATCTCATTAGAAAGTTTCTAGATCAGTGTCAATATCTGAGCAAGGAACACACCTACCCCTCCCCTGACCCAACTACAGTCAACTGTTAACAAGCTAGGTCAATGTTGGGCTAGGGGAGGGGTAGGTTCGCATTTGCTCAGATACCAACATTGATCCGAGTTTGTGATATTAAACAGGAACAACCCCTCCATATTTTTAAATCTTGAATTATTTTACATTAAAGGTCAGCCAAGGCCAAATTGAGGAAGCTATGAAAGGCATGATGGAGTCGAAGAACAGACTAGCTTTTGAGAAGGGAAGCTTACAGGTAACTGAATATCACGATTGTAAATTATTTAAGCAATTTCTGGTCACTATAGGTTAAAATATATTCAATGATGAATGTCGGTTACATCATGTAATGAATTTAAATCTTAAACATTTGCAAGCACATTCCGATTTACTGAAACTCTTAGTTTTTTTACTCTTTATTTTTCTTTTATATTGTTCAGTCTCGGGTCGAACATCTTCAGCAAGAATTAAAGTCGTTTGGATCTATAAAGGTACGGGTTACAAATTTGTGTATTAAAAAAATGCAGGGCTCTTTTTAACACTGATTTAAGACGTGTTTAGCTTCGAGCATTTTCTTTGTTGAAGCTGAAAAATAGGGCTACGTTCAAAATGCTGTGTTTATTATTCAGTTACGGTTTTGTTACAGGCCGAAGCTGAACAGCTCAGAAAGATCAACACTAACTTACAAAACCAACAGAGCAAGGTATTCTGTTAACTTTTTAATGAAAAAATTATTTATTTTTATTTATTAATTGTTTATTAATTTTATTAATTGTTCTGCTCTGTTTGTCCTTCGCTCTCGTCACAAACTTGCGTCAGCTCAATTGAAAAACGCACGAAACAGACATTCCTTGTTCTCTTTCGTCTCTTTTAGAATTTAGTTGAAATGCAGTCCTATAAAAGCACAATAAAGAAACTGGAATCGCAGATAAGAGAGGTAAATTTTTTTTCGCTCTGATTCGTAGAAATTGTGTACTATTTTTAAGGACACACTTTAATGCATTTTCATAGAATTTGGCATATGATAGATAGCTTGTTAAAATCCTCTGTATGAACTTGCAAAATCTTCGTGAGTTTACAGGGAAAGGGGAACAGTAAATCTGGCTACTTACCTCGTTTTTCAGCGATTTTCCGAATCATCAACCCAGTCAAAGGGGGTTATTTGACTGCTTTTATTTTCGGTCAAAATTGTGAGATTTTGTTTAGAGAATTACAGATTTTATATTGTAGAAACAATTATATTCGAACATTTCCGAGGACGCCACGGAGATTTCCGGAGGCGATTAGAATACTTCTAAGGCTACTACCTATTCATTGCTCTGCTTATCGTGGAGGCTTCGCGGCAAGTACGATCTTTCACGAGAATTAAGTTTCCTCGTATTGGTTCTGGTAAAAATCGCTTTGGACAAAACTGTTACTTAAAGCTGTAATGGCTAATTTCCTTTTGTCGCTTGGAATAAGTCGGCGGACATGAGCTGACGTGAGATGGTGGATTTTTCGTTCTTACAGGGTCAATCAGCACATAGCAGGAAGGATTCTGATCTACGGTCAGTGATCCAGTCCAGAGAGAACGCTTTAAGAGAAGTGGAAAAACTTGTACAACACGCAGAGAGTTTGGAGAGAAAGTACAATGACAAGGTATTATTGAAACAGTCTCTAATGATTCAGTTCAATTTTATTTAATGTATAGGAAATGAGTTCAAAAACATCGACGGGTATGCAATCTATAATTTTCAGTGCGTTTAGTTAGAGTTCTAAATCAAAACTGTCTAGTCAGATCTATTAGTATTAAAGTTTCATGTAGTCTTCTGAAGGAATCCAGTTTTTAAATTATTGTGGAAAGCGTCTCGAAAAATGAATGGCCTGTTGCGACTAACGTTAACCCTTGAACTCTTGAACAGAATCACCGTTGAATCAAATGTAAAGGTCATGAGAGAAAAAGTAAATGATCACCAATTTAAGAGACTCCTGATTGTCAAACGAATTCTCCTTGTCATTATCATAGGAAATTTAAAGAGAACAGTGTGGATAATTTTAATACGTATGTTGGGGTGTTAAGGGTTAAACGCCCTGAGATTCTCTTGGGCTTCTTTTTTGTTTCATTACTTTGTACTTTGTACTTTGCTTCTTTCCAGGTCGACTCATTGCAACGGTCGCTGAACGATGCGCGGGAAAACAGCGGGCGGCTGTCCAGCACGATTGAAAGTTTGATGAAGTCGCACGCAGAGCTACAGGAAGCTATGGAACGGCTTCAAACTGAAATGGGACAGAAAGACAGCGAGGTTAATATACTTCGGAGGGATAAGTGAGTGTTGTTTAAGATACGCTAAAGACGCGTTTATACTTCACAAGTTTTTTTTTCGGCAGTGCAGATGGAAATAAATATGACGTAATTTTTAATTTTGCTTGGTAACCTTATAATTTTTAAAAAAGGACATGCCAGTTTTCAAGGATAAGGAGTAGTCGTAGAATAAATTAGTTGACGATGTCTTTGGAAAGAAAGTTGCCATTAAAGCGAAGAAAAATTGGAGGTATATACTGTTCATGCAAGTTTTACCACAGTGAGATAATGTTTGTGGGCATAATCAAGGTCTGACTCACAAGGATAAGAGTGACTCTGAGAGGGGCCCCAAACATGTCTATGCCCAAGGAAAATACACTGTATTGCTATTATCATTACTTTGGAGGGCATTTAGAAATTAAAAATTGACAGAATAATAACAAAACAGTCCAAGAAATCACGCAAGCGTGCAAGCGGGCTAAAATACAGTCTAGCCCTTCCAAAATCTCCATTTTAGCCCTAAGATAGTCGTGTCTGTTGTTTGGCAGGATTTCCTCTCAGGAGCTCATCAAACAACTACAGTACGAGAATGATGCCTTGCAAAGTAAAATCATCTCCATTGAACAAACAGAGCTACAAGAGGTGAGTAGGAGGAACTTTAGCTTAAGAGGTGAAAACTATCCAATCTAGTTGGAAACATAACTCCTAAAAATATTTTTCATCGCGTTTCTCGCCTATGTAGTCCAGTACATCACCAAAAATTACTATGTTCACA